TCCACATTATATTTAAGTTTAACAGGCCAAATTTTTGTCAAGAAATTCTAGTAAAAAAGTTGGCAATTTGTATGCAAATTTGTTGATATTTTCCTAATTTTGGCACAAGTTTACAACTTAGATTTATACGATTTCTTTTAGATAATCAGCTATAATATTTTAAAATATTTACAAAAAAGTTTCAGAATTAAAAACATTGCGAATATTGTTAAAATATCACTTTATGATTTGATTTTGAGCTACTGTGTATACACACACTTGAATTAATAAAATATTTTGCTACACCTATGCAATTAAACTGTTTCTTATTTCATCTCTTAAGTTCCTAGAAATATTTGCTGTACTACTGTCCGCTTCCACCATATTCACAGTTTCTAATAAATGTACATCTTCTGTGGGAAAAACTTCTGAAGGTTGCAGCTTAGCTTTAAATTGCAGACAAATGTTGTGCAAAGCGCAGCAAACGTTCATTATAGCTGAAACCTTTTGCGGAGTATAATGCAGCTCGCGTGCTGCCAAAAGACATCGAAACCTTCCTTTCAATATTCCAAATACTCGTTCGATGATTGACCGTCCTTTGGCATGGCAATGATTAACCCGGCCTTCTGCTGAATTTTCGGCGGCATTACGATAGGGAGTTAACATCCATGGTTCCAATGGATATCCTGAGTCGCCTTAAATAATTTGAATGCAATTATTAATTAGTTATCGATATTAAAGTATTAATTGATGCTAACCAAGACTCCATATCCCTCTCTCGCCATTATCAAAACGAGCTTTTAAAGCCCTTCTCTCACTGGACAGGTTCCATACATGGGAATCATGGCATGCACCACCGTATCGCGCGTCAACAGCTCTAATTCTCATCTTAATTAATTTAATTTGAAAAATTGTTGTTGAAAACCTTCATGATAATGCAATACTTACAACCATTGCATTCATACTGTGCTTCAGTTTTCTATTGTAGTACAAATGCTCATTCCTTGTTGGTCTTATCATTTGTATATGTGTGCCATCTATTGCAAACAACACGCCCGGAATGCCACACTTTTCATAGAAATATAATTTTGCCTCTGTTTCCTCTGCGTCCGTACTTGCAAAATTAATGTGTTGTTGGCAAAGCGTTTTCTCAATGGCTTTGCACACTTCAATGAGGCAGCGTGACATTGACTGCTGAGATGGGCCAACGTGTTGGTCTTGGCCAATTTGGTGTTGGTAACCTCCTTGCCCCAATAATTTCAGTGCGGCGGCCAGCTTAATAATGGGCGGAATTGCTATGGATTTTCGAGGAGTGCTTAACTCCGGCGTAATGGCATTTAGTACGTACTGAAACGCCTGTTTGTTTACACGAAAATTTTGCGCGAAACTGTAAAGGGATAATTATAAATACATAAAATATAAATAGTCACAAATAAAGCAATCCTTTTACCATTTATCATTGAGAGTGAATATGTTGGCCTTATCCCTAAGCGCTCTCAATTGCACTCGTTCCGCCACTTGGCCTTCATCTGCTTCCAACCATATCGCCACTGAATCCATTTGGTAACTTTTTTTATCAAGGACTGTCACTAATATTAAATATATTTAACACAACAATTACTGAGTTCTTAAGTGCACAAACTTCGCATTCGAAATGTTAGCAATTTCATCTTGTTTTGATTTTAGTACCTTTTTTTATTTTGCTTTGCGTTTGACATTTGGCGAACAGTGTTGCTCTCTTCTTTCGAATATCTTCGAAAGTTGATTCGAACGAACTATGGAGTACGAA